ACGAGCGTCGCTTGAGGGTGGCCGATACCACGATCACAACCCATACAGCTGAGCTTGGCCGCTTGCAAGATCGGGTGTCGACACTGGATCGGGATCTCCAGAAGGCTTCTCAGCGTGCTCAGGCAGCGACTTCTCAACGCGATCAGGCCAGGGCGGCTCACATCGCTACCCGTGAGTACTTGTCTGCATACCTTTTTTTCCGACGTCTCACTAATCTGTCCCTTGTGTCACAGAGGATCGTGTCTCAGCTGCTCAAGACACTATCGCGCGGCTGGAGAAACGAATCAACCAAGTCGAGAGGTCTCAGAAGTTGCATCAGGATCTCGAGTCCGCGCTCGCCAAGCTTCAGCAAGAGAAGGATGCTCTGGCAGTTCAAAGAGATGAGTTGTTCGGCCAACTTGCCGAGCGTTTCAGATGATATCCAGCATCTTGCCTTGGTTCCGCATGAGGATTCGGGTGTCCGGATGCCGTTGTTGAGCGTGGGTTTTCCACGCGTTCACAGCCTCTTTTCTTCCTGCGTCCACCCTCGCCAGCGCCTCTTTCTTCTCCTCTTCCACTCTTTTCACGCTCGCGTCAGCCCTCGCCAGCGCTTGTTGCTTGTCGGCGTCCGCCCTCGCCGACGCCCTGTCTAATTCTTGCTGCTTGCCGGCGTCCGCCCTCAGCAACGCCTCCTTCTTCGCCGCATCAGCTCTTGCCAGCGCTTCCTTCTTTTCCGTATCGGCCTTCGCCAGCGCTTCCTTCTTCTCCTCTTCCATTCTTTTTACGGTCGCGTCAGCCCTCTCCAACGCTGGCCGGTCACGCGCTTGTCCAAGCCGATCTGCCCCATGTAAGCGAACAAGGTCGTGATGAAGGCATCCAGCTTTTGTGTGCTTGTTGACGATGGAGACGAACGCGTCGGTGTCGGCTGCAATGTTCGCCGCCAACTTTTCTTGGCACTCAGCCACTTCGTTGCGGATCTCGGTGGACTAGCCACGGGTGTTTGCAGATACGGGTGAGCTTGCAGATCACGCTCGAGTGAATGTTTTTGGTGGTCTCTTTTAAACGCCAAGATGCGTGATGAACTGGGGTTGACGGAAGTCCGCAAGACCCGGATGATCAACCAAATACGCCATCAAATAAAGATCGAACAGCGTGAGGCGGAGGACGAGCGGCGTGAAGCTGAAAAAGCCGAAGAAGAGACCGAACGTATCGGAAAGATCCCAGCCAAGCGTAAGCGCGACTGGGATGAACTGAATGATGTACTCAAGTCAAAGCGTGGCAAGGACGGGAGCACGGCGTTCTCGGCCATGGAGTACGGACAGCTGCCGAAGCAGTTCCGTACGGACGAAGACTCGGTCAAGTCCGGCGTCTTCTACGATCTCATGAACGAGCCTAACGCCCTCACGGACAATATGTTGGACGATCTTCTTAAAGCGATTGAAAATAAGAACTGTGTGTACCAGGATCCGACTAGCAACGAAGCCACCCGCATCCAGTTCATGGGCGCGATCTTCGAAAGCGTGGTGCGCATGTTTAAGACTGATGAGCAGTGAGTACGACTGCAGGTGCAGGCGACGTTGACCGGGAACTACGTCAGGTCGAACGGAGTGGTGGACTTTCTGATCACGCGGGGCAAGAAAACTGTTTGCGGGGCGTGATTGCCTTTTCTATCGCTTTCTCGCTTGCCGGGTTTATTGCAATATCAATGATTTGCGGCGTTTAGAGCGCTGAGGATGTCCGCTTTTTCAATATTACAGGGGTCGTTGAAAATGTTTTATCCTGCAATATCCAAGTCTAGCTTGGGTGGAGACGTTCTCATCTCCACGTTTTTTTTTCTACCTACGCTCTTTTGAATGGTTTCATGCGTCCCTTGTCTCAATATCTCGCTCTTGAAAAGCTCCAACATGTTGATGACTGCGTTCACATCTTGGTTCCAATAACGCGCGTTGCAGTTCATATGGTCACAACGGAGCACTCCGTAACATGTTTTTCTTCAAACTGCACCTCGGCTCGATTCCGCGGCAAAAACAACACTTTTGCGTTTTATCTTCTTCGGCCACGATGTAGTCGACTTGCAAAAGCGAATCTATTGTACGAAGTGAGCTGGAAACCAGCATTTAAGTTTGCATAATATATCTAAAAAAAAATAACTGGACATTCTCATTGCCCTCCGTAATAAAAAAATTAAAAAGTGCATCGTTCAGCGGCATCTACGGTTCTTTTCGAGCTCATGAATCCGCGCTTGAAGATCTGCGATGACTCGAGCGCGGTCCACCAATTGAAGGTCTTTATCCTTGATCGTGGCGGTGAGTTTCGTCAAATCAAGATTATGCCGCAGCTCCATGTTCTCTTTGTTGCTTTTTAGTTTTTGCCGGAGCACGTTGACTTTGCCCTTCTGCTTGGTGAGCTTCACAAGAAGAGCGGCGGCCTCGGCTTTCTCGTCAGCAACAGCATTCTGAATGCGTTCTTCGAGCACGTCGATCATGCGCTCCAAATCTTTGATACGCAGCTTGTACTCGTGCTCTTGATCCGTCATTTCTCGAGCGTGCACTTCGGACTGGATGGCCATGCTGTCGTTGTACTTGTCCGCGATCGTTTGCATGATTGCACGGATGGCCTTGTAACCCTCGGCGTCAAGATGAATGAGCTCTTTCTGCTTTTCTAATGAGAAACGATCGCTCTCGCGAATGGTCGATTTCAAACGCTTCTCCGCCTCGCTGAGGCGGTCTGAGGGGACGAAGATCACCGTGTCCAGTTTGGTTTTTTGTCCGAACACAGAGCTGTGCTTGTAGAACCGCTCCTTCACGTTCTTCGATCGGCCGAACTTCAACACCTTCTTCCCTTCCTCTCGCATAGTGGTGTCCACTAGGTACAAGCACGAGAGATTGTTCGGAACCAGCTTCATGAAGGCTTCGAGGAAAAGCTTGTCGACCTTACATAGCGTCGACACCATTTTCTTCTTCTGGCCGGGATTGCCATACGCCAGCGTAAAGACGTATTTGTAAACCCAGCGGCGAAACTCGGTCGCCACGGGCGAGTGCGTGTTGTGGAGCGCGTGCATCAGCCCGGCAAATGTGAAAAAGACATCTTTCCCAGCAGCGCGTTGGTATTCGACTGTCGATGGGTCGTGTTCTTCTAGTGAGATGTCACTCTTCTG